TGAATTCCTACCATCTTGTCTAATGAAACTCTGTATTATCTCTAAAGTTTTATTCAATAATTATTTTTTTATTCTCTTTAATGGTTTGAACAATCTTACATTCTTATATCTGGTAATCTGAGCAATGTAGCTGAATATAACAATATGTAATATAGCAACCACTGTTAATTCCTATCATTTTGTTATGAAACCCTGCATCACTTTTAATGTTTTTGCTTTGTTTTGTTTATGTCTGTGATATTGGTATGTTGCTATAGTTTTTTTTTACTACTCTCTTTAAAATAAAAAAATAAATGAAATAAATAAATAAAAATGATATATCCACTTTGGCATATAGTTCCAATTCATTTCCATCAGTTGGTCCTTTATATGACTATACTTCAATTATAACATTGATGACCTTTCCTTTTTTCCCAATATTCCATTACTCACAAATAATACAACCATGAAAATGTCAACTTTTGCACACATATGTAAGTTTTTCTTATTAAGACATGGACCTTTTGGTTAACACAGCATGTGAAATTTATGTTAATTAGTTTATATTAATTTTTCTCCTGAAAAGGCTAGTTGGTAAGTATTGTGTAAATATCCCAATATCCTTAAAATTTCTCTAGTAGTTGATCTCATGAGTATCTTATTGTTCCAAATGAAAACAAGTAAGATTCAGTAACTTCTCATTTTCATTATTGGACTATTTAATTTCCTTTTCTGAGAAATGCTTTTAATAAAACTTGCACAATTGTCTATTGAATAATTACATCTCTTTCTTATAAATTAAAGTTTTTATAAATTCTGGATATTAATCTGCTATCTCATTCGTTGCTTACTATTTTACTCCAATATAAGCAGTTATTGCTGCATAAATATGTTAAATTTTTCATTAAGTCAAATCTGCAAGTCTTATTTTAATAATTTTTACATTTTTATAGCTCACTAAAACCTTCCTTCTTTAAGAAATAAGACTATTCTTTGTCCTTTAATGATTTTAATATTTGATTTGTTTACACTGAGATTTCTGATCTACCTAGGATGCCTTTTAAGTTGGGTAAGCGGAAGGGATCTATCCCCCTTTGGATACCTAATTGACCCAGCACCATCTCCTCGGTAATTCAGCTCCACAACCCTAACAGAAGTTTACCACGCTCCCTTGAGCATACATAAAAGAATATCCTACTTTTGTGGTTTTCCATTTTATGTCTTTCAAAATAATTTGCATTCTATAAAATAATGGCTATGAATTTTAAATCTGAATACTAAATTGAAGTAGCTTTGGCTAACAGCCGTGTGGCTCATGTTGCTGCTCGTCACTGTTGTTGCCACACGCCTCAGATTCCGCTGTCTACACAACAGAAATCATATCTTGCACTTGCAGTAAGTAGAGACAGCTCCCTGTTTTGCCCTGGAGTGTGCACTCTTTCCATCTATTATGCTGAATTGAATTTCTTTGCTCCTGGAGCCTGTGTTCTACTCTGGACTGAAAGCTCTTTAGAGGCACAGGCCATATCTCAACCATTTCTGTATCCCAGTAACCAGCGCATTGCCTGGTCCATAGCAGACACGACTTACTTTTATTAAATTCAGTCTCTCCTTTTGTGCAGCAGTTTTCAACATTTTTTGTTAGGAGAGATAAAGAAAGGACAGGAAAGCTGAACCATGGGGTCACCTCTCCCTTGTGCCCTTCCTCCTCTCAGAACACATTTTTTGAAAAACATGCTCCATGATATCACCTCCATGATCTGTCATTCACAAATGCCCCTCAAAGGCCAAGCAAGTTTCAGTAAAGTGCTACACTTTTAGAAAAAAAGAGTAAGCACACATCACCAAGTAAGAGGAAACAAAAAGAAGAATTAAACACTCTGTAATGGCTTTGCCTCCCTTCATTTGTCCAACAAATATTTGCTCAGTTCCCACTGTGCACACAGAAAGGAGTTAAGAAGTGTGGGAAATCCGAGTCCCTTCCTGAAGGGCATTCATCAGGGAAAAAGGAGAGAGAAACAGAGAGGGCAAGGCAAGCACCTAGGAGAGACTGACAGCCCACTCAAGTCTGACTGGACATGAAAAATGATTCTCTGGGTCTTGTTTCCTAAAGAAACAAAGAACTATTCAGTGACAGTAGGGACTCTCTCGTTTCCCAAATGCCAAAGCAAACTCCTCTCTGGCAAGGCCGAGTTATACTGTACCTTCAATCCTTTCACAGAGCTTGTGCAGAGAGTGCATAGGGCAGGCCTCGCACAGCTTGATCTGGGTCTTGGCACTCTGCAGCGCTGCAGCCGTGCTGAAAGCCTGCTTCAGAGTCAGCATGACCTCATCGACCTACAAGAAGGAACAAAACTCATCTATACAAGCTGGCTTTCATGGAAACATTAAAACCCAACAGCAATGTGAGCTTTTGTGGCTGCTGACCAAATAATAGTAGAATTTTGATGGGTACAGAGCTGGCAGAGAGAAAAAAATTAAGTCTTGAAGTCAGACCTCTCATCCATATAATTGAAAGCTGGATGAAATAAGACCATTTCAATGTGTGTAATGCAATACTCATCTGTTACTAGAAGGCTATTTTCAAATCCCATGGAGCGTTACGCTATCACAGACAGTTTAATTAGTAGATGAGGTTTTTCTTTAATTAAATGGCTTATCAGATAAAGCGCTCTTTGGAAGTTTATCTGCCATGTACAGTATAAAGAAGACATTCGCTTGTGTTAATAAGTACCCTTCTTACTTTAATCTTCTGAGTCATTTTTAGTGTAAAACCAAATAAGCCATGTGTTCAAGTGACGTTTGGGAGGAAAAGACTTCAATTTAAATGGTGGGAAATGACTATGAACATTGTTAGTCTTCTTTTTTTTTGGTGGGGGGGGTGGTTTTTGGTTTTTTTCCAGTACCAGGAATTGAATTCATGACCTTGCGCTTATCAGGCAGGCGCTGTGCTGCTGAGCTAAATCCCCAGCCCCTCACTGTTAGTCTTCTTGTTACAAGCTTCAGGTTTATGATTCCAGTTCTGATCTATGGTACTAGAAAGTGACATCACAGTGTCTGACATCTGGGTCTCACAACCAGGCCAGCAGCTTGAAAACTGCAGGCTGGTTTCTTTCTTGCTCGTCTATTGACCCAGTCAAGAAATATGAATGTGCAATCTGTCAATTTCGTGGGTGATTCTTTGAAACCAACTAACAGCTCATCCTTGGCCACTGTGAAACGACATCCAGCTGCATGTCTTTTCTGTAACACAATCACTAGTGTAAGATGTGATTTTTCCCACATGGTGTGGGAAACTCTAGAACCTAGATAGCACAGCTACCGAATCCACACTTGCAAAATCATTTTTGCTCTCTTTTCCCCTACATCCTGGTTTACCAAGAAGTTGTTATTAAAGAATTTAATCTGTTTCTCCATTTGAATGTATGAGCAAACTAGAGTAACAAGAAATTTTACCTCCTTAATATACCTGAAAGCAAAGCTCAAACACTAAGCAGTTAACTAACCTTTGTTGCTATGTTTTATTATATTAGGAACCTTAAAAAGGCTTAAGAATAACTTCATAGCATTGCATAAATAAAAATGAATTATTCCATTTTATACTATAATTAAAAATAAAAACTAATTCTTGGAACTAAAAGCACTGCATGTTTCATGTCTTTACATTTTTATTTCATTTGCCTTGTTGAATATTCAGAGGCAATTTAATTATTTCTGCAAACACTGATTTGTATTTTCTTGTTTTCCATTTATTTAAGACACTGAACAGCTAGTAAGTGGCTTAGTAACATAAATAGCTTTCACAGAGATTACTAGTTACTTAATAATTCTGCATTGTACAAGACCCCATGGAAATACTAAATACTGGTTCTATCATCTCAGTTTCTAGATGAAACAAGAGGTGTTGTCTGAAATATAGTGACCAACATCACCTGGCAATAAAACAGTTCTAAAAACTGTATTTGACTAATAAAATGCTAAATGTTTTATTTTCTAAAATCCATCACATTTTCCAGCTGGCCTATAAAGTCTATCCTGAGAAGAGTGTGACTAAAAGTTCAAGTTAGTTCAATATGCTAGAACAAGAAAAAAAAAAAGTCATATCAAAAAGTTAAAAGCAAAGTAAGACAAAGATAAATCAACTACATGCAAACAAAAACAAAGTAGTCTTGGCATTGCCATCCAGCAAAATTACATTCCCAGTAAACAGCATGAGTTTGGTAAAAGAAAGTTAATTTATGGTACTAAGGAAAAATCTACAATAAACATAATGCTCATAAATATTACACACCAAACAGTATTAGATAGCATTTTAGATAAGTCTAAGAATCATACACTGTGTAAAGAGAGTTCAAAAGAACTAATTCTCTGGAAAAATGTAAAATTTCAAACTATCTATTAAAGTATGGAATCAAACCTATTTTAACAATTGTTAATAATTATTGTTGGTCTGTTTCAGTTCTGTATCTGTTAGATTTTAGGCCCATTACTATATGCTATGCTGTGTGCAAGTTCTCACACACCTGTTCATATGCCAAAGTCACATCCCACACTTCTTGCTCCTGGGCTACATGATGCCAATTATTTGTGTCTTTCTTCAGATGATATACTCTTCATAGATTATTGCTTTTCCCTAAAACAGCTACAACTTGTCATGTAAAACACATCCAAAACTTGAACTTACCTCTTTACCTACTAGCCTTCCTACTTTTCTTGCTCCTTAATTATTGAGTAATTTACTTTTACAAATATAATCCATACCAGATATAAAAGATAACTTCCTAGAATATGTACCTCATTCTTCATAAAGACATTATTATTTCATTTCTAATTAAATATCATGTTTATTTTATTAACTATTAACCACTTATAAATTCTGACTCCTGAGTAGCAGTGATCTTTTCTTTCCCCCTTTCTGTTGTATTTTTGTTTTGCTTATATTTTTTCCCGTACTTACAGCACTTAGATTTTCTTTGTCTATAAATATCAGTAGTTTGCACTTTTTTTCATACTCTTTAAAGAAAGTATTGTAAAGAAAGAATATTTTCTACAAATGTCAAGTGTTGGTTTAATAAGATTAGTTTAAAAAGAGCTGTACCTGTCTATATAGCTCTAGGAAGGAAGGAAGGAAGGAAGAAAGGAAAGAAGGAAGGGAGGGAGGGAGGGAAGGAGAGACAGGCAGAGGAGGAAAGTGGAGGGGAGGGGAGGAAAAAGAGAGAGGGAAAGGTAGAAATAAGAGGGTGAGAGGGCAGCTTTAAGCATTTCAACTTCCTGTATCTCTCTCCAGGGCCCCTCAGAACACTAATTCACAACAACTTTACAAAGAAGCAGAAGACAATGCCAATTATGTGTTTTGCTGCTGAGACGAGGTGTCAGCATGCACGGTTTTGCAATGTTTTTGTCTTATTACAAATGCCAAGCCACATCAATCATAACGCTGCTTCAACTCATATAACTTATAACTGACTATTTTGTTTTGTTTCGTTTGTCAGTTGTTGGAGCCATCCCTGATTACACAGGAAATATACATGTAATGTTTCTTCTGGCTTGTAGTTCTGATACCTCACTACTCAGTTAGATGCTTACTGATAAAATGAAACAGAGTTGAATGAGCCTTCTTAAGAATGAGGCCAAAACTCAAACTCCATACTGCTTCAAGTAACAGGAACTGGAGGGTGTGCACAGCCAGCACCGGCAAATGCCTTAGTCAGAGAGTACAGCAGGGAAAGGCACCAGGTCCCAGACCTTCTCCTGTGACATCTGTTTCAAAATTTAATCTACAAGCATGGGGACAAAATGCAAAAACTAAACCCTCAAAATAAAACAAAACTCAGAAAAGAGAGTAAAACATGAAGGTGTTAAATATTTTCCTTTTAATGAAAGGGCTGTAGTGAACAGAGATTGCCCAGCACCTGGAAGACAGCAGACAGCCGCCTGGAGTTCAGAGGAAAGCACCTGACCTGTCCCTCAAAATAGGAAAATACAAAGCACAGCCCAGAAATACCAAGTGAATAAGTCAATGGAGTGGCCAGTGAAGTAAACAGGTGAAAAGAACAGGGCCTCGGTGGGAACTGAGAGACCTGTGAGCCAGCTGCGGAAAGCAGGACAGTGATATGGCTCGATGCCTGAGAAAGGGAGTCCGGAAAGTCTTCAGGAGGATGAGATGATCCAACTGGTCCTGAATAACCCACAGGAGAAGTGAAGAGGAAGAGCGTCTGGGCTATGGTAGAGCAAGGCCACGCCTGCTTTACTGCTGATGAAGCAGTGGGAAAGAGAAGGTGAACAGAGGTCATTCCTCCCTACTCAGTAATAGGTGCCCCTGGAGACTGACCTGCCCCATGGCCAGCCTCATAGATGAAAGGCAGAGAACCCAGTTCTGGCCTCCTGGGACATGCAGATTCCTCACTCCACACAGCAACCCACCAGGGGCCTTCAGGGAGTTCCAGCTACTCGCTGAAGCCGCAGATCCCAGGCTGAGGGGCCCGCTCAATGGTAGAGTGCTTGCCGAGTATGCATGAAGCCATGGGTTCAACCCACAGCACTGAAAAACAAAAACACCCTTGATCGTGCTTGTGGCCCATGCACTACTCTCAAACTTGCCGATTTCAGGAACAAACCAAAAGAAAATCTCCATGACAGCAGCCATCAAACCAGGCTTTGTGTTTAGCTCAGAGAAGAGCTATGAGAAGGAACAACACGTGTGAAGACACAGAGAAGAACGGGCACGGCCTGCGTCTGCACTTGGGGGGTAACTGTGTAAGGGGCTGGAGAAGAATGAATGCCCATGTGCTAGATGACGTAGATGTTGTCCTTTAATAAAGAGGCACAAATGGGGCTCCTGGGAGGAGGTTAGATGAATGGAAAACCCCAGCACAATATAGACAGGAAGGACAGTAAGTAGATGGCAGATTAAACCAGTGGCAGGCAGAGTAGTCAGGACACCAGTGAGACAATTCCAGGTATTGAAGAGGAAAAGATGATGAGATGGCTGAAAGAGACATTTCTCTCTTTCAGTCAATAAAATTGACAAACAACTGGACAAAGAACGCGTTAAGGTTTCTAAACTGAGGAAATGGTGCTCACAGGGAATGCGGAAGGAGAGAGCTAAGCAGGGGTGACTGTGCCGTGTACCAAGGAAACAAGGGTAATGCTCCCAGCTTGTGTGCACAGGTCTAAGTTGGATGTGTTTTGGCGGGAGAATTACATGGCTAAGAAAATAATTTTCTGTAAATTCGCCAAAGAATGGCAGTGTATATATCTGTACCTCTGAATTAAAATGGTTGAGGGGGTAGCACAGGCACAAGAATAAGTAAAACTTTGAGGAAACAAAGAAATTAACATAATTACTAGTCAAGTGTATTTCTAAATCTGTCTTATGTATTTCTTCTCAAACTCTAATTATTCATGTAATAGAAGACAGGAAAAGGAAATACTGGAAAGAACTGACTTAAATGTCAAAGGAAGGAAATGAAGGTTAAGATAAAACCATAAAGGAAAAAAGATTCTAAAACTGAGTAGAGGGGCTAATGATAAAGAGAAAAAACAAATAGTTCTTTATTCTCCTGACACGCTTGTTACAGCAATAAAGAAAATCAGAGGTCAATGGCCTTTCTTATCTTCTTGTTTGAGCAATGAGAAAAGTAACCACTTTTTTCCAGTCTTTTCCTGCCTTTTGAAAATAATCACGGTAACTTGGTGTTTGTTAAACCTGAGGAAGTATCTCGGTTTAAAACTTTCCATGACAATTTGTTTTGGTCTACTTTTGCACTGCGGTGAGGGGTAACAGTGTGTTTCTAGATGCCCTTTTTTCCCCTTGTGAGGCTTGGGTTCACCCAGTTGAGTCCTCTGTAAGAGGGATACGTTGGGAGCAGTGTGTGGACAACAGAAAAGCCACTTACCAGGGACTCGCTGGCACACTGGAACACATAACAAATGTACTGGCTCAGCCCAGGTTCTGGAGACTCGCGACAGATGAAACCAAAGTGATCAACATGCTTTATACCCTGGATGACAGGAAAGAAGGACAACACAGCATTCATGGGAATCCTTTTAACAGTACAGGAAATCAACATCAGCTCCACACTTTCCCACTTCCACGTATTTCTTCTTCACGGTAACGTGACAGGGAACATAAGGACACAGCAAACTTACAGGATGGCCTGTCGGTATATAAGATAAACAGTGAGACCAATGCTGATTGTTTTGTTTCTCATAAACACCATAAACACCCTGGGACTCGGGGCCACAGAAGAAAAAATACTGATGGCATGATGCATTGTGACTTGCAATAAAACCACTACTCCATGTTTGTAAGTCATTGTGTTTTCAATTTATTTTCTTCTTAGAACATCAGTCAGAAAGTTTATCAAACTGTGTTGTTGTCTACAGAAAGCTAAGAATCTGAGAAAAATCACAATTGATAATACTTGAATTGTGCTCACTTTGGCAGCACATATACTAAAATTGGAACAATAATATTTGAATTAAATGCCATGCAATTCCCTAAAGTTGCATAAAACACCAGACTATTTGTCTATTCTAGTCACAGACACTTAAAAAGCCGCATTGTTGAAAGAGTGATATTTTCAAAATACGACTGCAAGTGACATTTATCCACATTCACAAATCATTGTACTTTCTAGATTCAGGCTAAATAACTTCAGCTATATTTAATAAAAAATTTATATCACTTGTGACTTTCATTTAGTCTGAATACATACATGCCAATAAATCAACGACACTGTGTTATTGTAACAGCAAGCACAGTACGTACTTTGAAAAGCCGGCAGAGCAAAAAAATTTTTTAAATGTCCTATAATCACCAAAATTTAAGCGAAAGGGGCTTTTGAATCACATTTGTGCTTAAATCTTGGTTCAACAAATATGCTACGTATGATAAACTGTGCTAGATTGCTAATAATTCTCTTCCAGGCTCCACTTTTCATTTCAAAATAGCAGTAATAGTCCTGTTACCAAGGATATAAGATTTAGACTAACAAATATCTATATGACAGTTCCTGGAATGTTGGATAAATGGTAATCACTCTTCTTGTCATAGTAATTGCAATCTATGCTGTGGCTATGGAAAAAGGAAACCAACTCAAAGAGAAAGAAGTCAGTAAGGAGGAGTAAGTCTGCAATTCATAAACTGAAAATAAGCGCAATCTGGTACAATTAATTAGTGACTAAAGAATATTTTTTTACTACTTTAGTACTAAATGGGAAAAATTAGAGGACTTCATGAGCTCAGCGAGTCTTCCAGGTAGTAGCAATGTTTCCAGGAAAGAAAGCCACTCCCTACTCGCCACTCTTGCCAGGAAAGCAGTGTACTGACTCTGAAGAAAGAAACATTTGTAGTTGTGCGGTATTCCAAAGCAGGCCTGTGCCTGAATACAGCCACACTGTGCATCCGCCCAGTCCTGCGGGAGGATGCAATAGGAGCAGACCCGCTGAGTAAGAGAGGAGCCCCAAGCTCACTCGACCAGTGTTCTGCTGAGAGGCCTTTCCACCCATTTCCTTCACGCTTTTGTTTAATTTCTGAACACAATACCAAATGTAAGGTTTGCCTTTAATAATTCAAAGGAAAAGCAGAAGTTCTATTTGAACTGCCAGTTTTATATTTGGTTTAACTGCATCTTCCGTCTTTTTTTTCCCCTTTTGGTGTTCAGTGAGCATTGCCTGTTTCCTTACTGGGAGGCATGGGGTATGCGGGGCAGGAGGTGTTGCATTTTAAGGATGTCTCTTGGTGCTCTGCAGGAGCAGGAACCATATTTGATTTATACATCGCTGTCTCCCCAGTGCATGGCACAAGGCCGCATGTGCAGAATGGACCCAATCACTCAACATTCATGGAGCACCTAAGGGTTAAATTCCAGGTCAGCACAGACGGTTCTAATGCACCAAGAGTAACACAGCTGCCCTCACAGAGTTTCTAATCTTGCAGGGACCCTCAGTAAACATGCAATTATAAGAATGCTTAATACATACTGTTCAGGTAAAGTAAATAATCTTTCTATCAAATCTGTATCCTTGAAGTGGGACTTTAGACATTTACAATACATTCTTCCTCTATTCAGATGCAGTCACTAAATTACCAGAGAATGCTTGTATATACCACATAATTTTGTCTCTAGGTAATTGAAACACAATATCAAAACAAAATACTAGAAGTGAAAATCTATTAGCTGAGATTGAGTTAAACAGCAGACAAGATATACAAATGGTGTTATCATCTTTGGGGGGCAATTTCTGAATATTATAACTACTGCAATGCTAACTCCAAAATTTGAGAGGAAAAAGAAAAGCAGAAGGGAAGGGAGGGGAATGGAGAAGAGGGACAGGAGGAAGGAAGGGAGGACAGGACAGTTAAGAAGCAGTCATGGGGGCTGGGGATTTAGCTCAGCGGCAAAAGCGCCTGCCTGGCAAGCGCAAGGTCGTGAGTTCAGTTCCCGGTACCGGAGAAAAACAAAAACAAAACAAAACAAAAAAAAGAAGCAGTCATGATTTTTCAACATTAAAATATAGGCAGAGACCTTGGCAAGATCCAATGCCTTTAAGGTACACAAAGTCAGCAGGCCAAAAAAGAAGTTAATTCTCAATTCCAACGACCTCCTCAAAGGCATCTTTGCATACATAACACGGCCATATTTGGATTCAGATACTTCTTCTATTCTGGCTACTTCAAAAGTACTTGCTTTGTTTACAATATATTTAGGTAGCTCTAACTTTAGGGTAGATATTCTAAAATATCACTATAGTCGTCAGATATCAGTTTATAACTAATATTATACTCTCATACACATTCACTATACCAGCTATTTTTAAAACACTTAAACACATAGTTTGTGAATTGAAAGAACAAAATATCAAAACATTCTTCCAACCTTGGCATGTGCATTAATAGACATTCAGGCATGAGTTCTCCTTTCACTACCTGCTCCGACATAAAGAGCAAACATGACTCAGTTACACCCACAAGTCCCACTGCCCAAGATTCTGAGGAACACTAACTGTGTGGTATTTTCAAAAGAATTCTCCACCTCAAGAATTCCATCCCTGGAAGACATCTGATGAAGTATCTTTACAAAGGGAAATAACTGACCAAAATGAAGACAGATTCTTAGGACAGATGCTGAGGGTCCTAGATAGGATTTTGTTACTGTCATACACACCAAAACATGAGCAAATTTTAATTTTTAAACAAATTCTCTTTAATAAAAATAAAAGTTTAGGAAACATTAAAATTTGAAGGGGTTTATGCCCTATTTTGTGGTAGATTGTGGGACCCAGTTGTTCTGTAGTTAATTGGTACTTTAAACACTACAACATAACTCAATACATACCTGAGAACAAGAGGAGATATCTTTAAAATTCTTTTCTAGCACAACTGACTTAGTGTCTGGACTGATAAGGTTAATCTCAAAGCGCCCAACCTTAAAAATAAAAGTATGTCAATTAATTTCAACTCATTAGAACCTAACATCTTACTTTATAATTATATATTCAACTAATAATCTCACTTTACAATTAATACTCAGTAAATAGGTACAATACTCTGTAATACCCAACTAATAAAATATTCAACAAATAACTGCTATATTTTAAATATACCTATTTCACATATGTTCCAACATCCAATTCAACAAAAAATTTTAATTCCAAATATCAGTTGTCTCAAAATGTTTATTGCCTTTGTTGAAAAATCACAAAACTAAGTTGGCCTTAAATTACAAGATACAAAACAGATATTTTTCTCAAAATAGAAATGATTTCAAAACTGTAGGCAACGTATCCTCACTTCGTGATTTCCAAAAATAACAATTATTTATTTATGTTATGAACGTATTTTCTCCCAAATGGTCAGTGAAATGACATACGTGTAGTTGGGCTAAACTGAATTCTTTGCAAATAAATAACCATTCAGAAAAATTAACAGCAATAACTATAACAAGCTAAGAAAAAGTGAAAAATCTGATAGCCCAAAGAAGAGGGAAAATTTCACCACAGAAAAGACCAGAGACATTTTAATTACTTGCCTAGTGTTAACCAAAAAAAAAAAAAAAAAAATGAACTTCTAACAAAGCAAATATGCACTGGGGGTGTTTACCAAGACATTGTATTCTGTGGAATTTCCCCCTCAGGGGTTCTTTAAAACAGGATGAAAGGACAGTCATTCGCTTTTTTCGAGAAAACTCAAACATTACAAGCTAAAGACCCTCTATGGGAAAGTTCTTTAAGTGAACTTGAAATATTGTATACACTGTATGTCATTTTTAAAAAATCATTTCTAGAATGAAGAATTATCGTTTACGCCCATTACTGTATACCTGGCATCAAATTATTTAAAGATGATCCGGTAAATTAAAAGGCCAGAGGTGTTCCCCTAACCTTCCCCCTTGTGTGCCATGGTGAATGGTGCGTTCTCATCTGAAACACATCTATGAAGATTCCCTGGGATTTTCCTTTTTCCCTAAAAAACCCTCTCTTTCCTCCATGCCAAATGACACTCTCCTAGAGTCACATCTCTACATTCTTCCTGAGAGCGGCTTTCCACAATTATTTTTTAAAGGTATTTATTTAAGAATCGGCGCGAGGCAAATGCCCATGTCAGCTAACAAGAGCATCTGTCATACACAGTGGGTATTCCTCATGCTGACATCAGCTTCCTATAATGCGCCTCTAATTGCTTCGTCCTGCTCCCCTGCCTTTTCTGCTTTTTAAGGGAAAACACGTAACAGCTGGATTTTTGGAGATGACCACGTTCTGGGTCACGGGTGATCAGGAGGGGACCCGAGCAGTGCGGCCCGTCCCGCAGCTGCTCGGTCCCGCGCTTTGCAGGGAGCGGCCCGACCCCAGCCGCACCTGGAAGAGCATGGTTCTGTTCTTCTCCGAATCGGAGGGCTGCACGTGACTCGGGGCGCTCGCGTGTCTGCGTCGCACCTGAGGCTTCTGGCTGTTGTCGTGAACTCTCCTCTGCAGGGCTCCCGTGACACTGCTGCACCGGGACCGGAAATCCTGCTGCTCCTCAAAGCCGCAATCTTCCAAAATCCGCTCAGGGACGCACACCCGGGAGCTGGCCGACGCAGCGGGGCTGGCCAGGGCCGGCGGGGCAGGACGACTGTCCTCAGCCTCCTCCTCCTCCCCCTCCTCTTCCTCCTCGGGCAGGCTGTCCCCGGGGGACCCCAGAGCCTCCCCCTCCAGGACCAGCTCCTCGCTGGGGTCCGAGGCCCGCTCGCCCTGGAGCCGCAAGCGCTGCTGTTCGTGCAGGCTGAACTTCTCGATGCAGTCGTCGATGAGGCTGGACGGGGCCTTCTTGTGGGTCACGGTCACCTTTCCGCAGTACAAGACTTCAAACTTCTGAGAGTTGTAAAAGGCGTCCTCACTGTCTTTGCTGGGTTTGGCATCCTCTTTCATGGCAGCTTTGGATAATTGCCTTATGCTGCTGATTACATCAGGAACCTGGGGAAAATTGAAAATCCTGTTTTAGTGGAACATTTTGACATAATTTATGTGTATCAAGACCTGTTATTAGCACACGGAATGGATTTTCATCCTAAATCATTGACTACAGGAAGCAGTAAATCCTATACAAGATAGAGTGTAAATTTAAATTTCACCATATGACATAAATGACTTCAAAGTGAAATTCCAATATAACAAAAATTATTAAAATTGAAATTTAATACAAGTATTATACTTTCAAATTTTGTGTTTATGAGTTTCACAAGAAACCATGAGGCTATCTAGGTCACTGCCAACTTTTAATAAATCAGAATACGTCTTTTAATTATTTTTAAAAGTTTTTAGGAGCCTCAGCTGAAAGGAACCAAATCTTCAACAATAAAGGTAAAATTAACTTTCTAGATAAAGAGGTTAAAACCAGAACACTATCATCAGCATTAGCAACCAGGAAAATACACACTGAAGCCATTCAGCTAGATATCACTACACAGATGCTAGAATGGCTGACATCAAATCGACCAGGGGCCAGCAAGGCAGAGCAACGGGAACTCTCATAGGTGGGTGCAGAAACGTAAGTGACACACCATGGCAGAAAGCTGTTTGGCAGCTTTTTAAGCTTTAATAATAGACCTGAGTTGGATAAAAGAAATAAAGACAGGTGGAAAGGAAACAAGGAAGCTCAGTTTTTATCTGTCCTATTACCTTAAGACTCTGGGTCAGATCCCTGCTCAGCTCTGCCCTTAGGAATTGTTAAATCATTTGGGAAAACTGGCAAAACCAGGTTTCTTAAACCTAAATTTACCAGGCCTACCTAATCCCACTTCAGACTGAGGACACCAACATTAAAGTAACTAAAGTAGTTTTCAGGGATCTCTGATTACCAGCGTTTACAGATCCTCTACAGCAAGGCCTAGAGGCCTCCAGTCATAGTCCTAAACCTGTGATCACCTAGGTTATAGGAAAGGCAGAACTGCAGAGACCACTTCATGATGAGATCACCCTCTGAGCAAGGACAAATGTCTCATGAGCCCCCAACTGCCCCCCAAGGCATAGGCATTCCTCTGGAGCTTGGAAACTAGCACTGAGATAATGACCTACCCACACCCTGCTCTACCTCAACTAATCCGAAAAAGGTGGCCTCTTGTTTTTGTGCAGCCTGTCCGAACATTTCAACAGAGTGAGCCCCTTCTAGTCACTCTAACTGGAGTCTTTTTTCCTATTCTCTCTTACTTCCTAACTCTGCATAATAAACCTGCCTATGTGTCACACTAACAAATCCTTTATCTATTATATGAGTCAGGAACCTTTTGGCAGACTGAACTAAGGTCACCATCTACCCTTCAGGGAACCTCCTCAGTCAGGGTCCAGTGACAGACCTTCCTCATGACCCAGCCAAAGGACTGCAAAACATTACCACAGAAGAGCTCATACGCAAAATGTCACAGCAGCTTTGATCACAATGCCAAAACAGTGGAGAGAATCCAAACACCCATTAACAAGTGGACAGGAAAGAAAATATAACACACACATACAATGGAATACCACTTATCATCTCTCACCTGGTTTACTCCAATAGCCTTTTAACTGGTTTCCACCCGCTTCAACCTACTCTCAAAAGCCAAAATGATCCTTATTAAACTTCTGGCTTGTTACTTTACGGAACCAAAAAAATACTACCCGAAAATATACCACTCTGGTGTTCTGATCATTTTGAGTTAAAGGCACTTGAGTAGCAAGAAGGGCACTTTGACCCTCCTTTGCTTCCTAAAAGCAAGACAACTCCCAAGTGAAAGATGTCCTCCCAGAACCAGGAGGAAGTCATGCTGATCGCCAAACATGGGAGTCAATACCAAGAGAAATCTAACAAAAAAACTATGTTAAACCAGTCCCACCTTCCTAGTCACTTTTCCACAATTATCTGCCTTAGCCCAAATGCTCCATCTTGTCATGTTTTCCTAATTTACTCCCTTTGTCTGGCCTAACTGCTTCTTCAGACCTTTGTTTTTCTTGTGAGCGAGTCCGTGTACACATAAAAATTACTAAACAAAAACTGGATACCTTTCACCTGGATTCTATCTTCGGTCAGTCACTGCTGGAAACCCGAGGAAAGTATAGGAGAAGTTTTATACCTCCCCCACACTGCTCACATGCAAACCCTCCAGTAGCTCTCTAATTTGATGAAGAGTAAAAGACAAGATCTTCAGTGCCCCAGAGGACCCTTATCAACCACAGATACGGGTGGAGATTAAATCTGTACTGTGGCGGCACATCTTCCCTGTGACTTTAGATGGTCAACCTGGACTTTCATCTTTCCATCCTCACCTCGTCTCCTCTGCCCTACATCTCCTACATTCCTTTCCTGCCTGCTCCACTCCAGCCACACTGGCCTCCTTGCTAGTCCTTTATCCTATTTGAAGTTCTCCAAACTGCAGGCTCCTGCCCTAGATATCCACCTTGCTCACTCCACCTCATTTAAAGCCAGGTCACCTTATGAGACAGCGCCCCCAGGTGTCTCATATGCCCCAGTGTACTTGCACATACACACAGCCACCATTTCTTTGGATTTTTCCCTGCTTTTTTGCTCCCCATAGTGCGCTTTTAACATTCTATATAGCTTATTTATCTATTTTTTGATAGTCTAATTATTATGTCAAGTAAGATATATATGCCAGGTACACAGTATGCCTGTAATCCCAGTAATGAGGGAAGCTGAGGCAAAAGGATCATAAGTTTGAATCCCACCTTAGCAACTTAGGTAGATGGTCTCAAAATAAATATTAAAAAGTGCTCGACATCTAGAGCACTGGTAGAGTGCCCCTGAGTTTAATCCTCAGTACTGAAAAAATAAAAGAATATATGTTTTAAGTGGATGGTGATTTCTGTCCCTTTTTTCTTTCATTATTTTTATCTATTGCATCCCCAGATCCAAGAATAATCCCCTGTACATAATAGGTTTTCAATATTAGTATTAAACAAAAAAAACTTTTTCAGTAATTTTTAATCTCTGGCAGCAAAAGAAGATCACACTATATCAAGGGCTGCTTCCTATTCAAAGATATAGGGTAGCTCTTTAACTCTCCTAGTGCCAATTTTTAAACCAGAATTTCTTCTTTCACTTAATTATTTAAGATACACTATAAAAGCTTTAATAGCTTTAAAATCACAAGCTTCAGGTGGCCAGAGTCTTTCCTATGAAAGGATAAAGTCCTTATGCTATAGTTTCGGTGAGCCACCCTGAATAGTTGACACACCTCAGGGACAGTCAAATGGCAGTGCTAACATGTGACTAGTGATCTTATGTATTTTCTTCTTACCTTACTGTGTGATTCACCCGACCTAATGGGACCAAAGCTATGGAGAATAAACTAGCTGACACTGAATCTTGTGAAAAGTAAAACGATTCCAGTTCAGCAAAACCCTAAGGGATGATCTATTCCTCCTCACTAATTCTATTCCACTAAATACTGCTCCATTTAATTTCTAACCCAAGTACTCCTAAATCTCCAAAAGTATCTCTATAGAGTACAGAATCAAAAATATTATCTGTAGGACTCTTTTAACTTGTATCTCTTTTAACTCGCTACACTATTTCACTTATTTGAGCACAGCCTTAGAGTTGTAGTCTATAGGTGAAACTGCAAATAACACCAGTTCTACCTCCTTTCTGTCAGATCTTCTCGCTGCCTGTTTTCTCTCCTGTTATCTGGAGATCTCCTAAGTGAAAATCTGATTAGTGGCTGAATTTCCAAGACTCATCCCTGTGACCACAGGAAAACACTGGACAACTAAATGTAATTCAGCAAATGACCCAAGTTTGATAAGCAAAGTTGATCATCCTGAGTTCTGAACTGTGCAAATAATTTAATCTTCCCATAATTTGAGGTGTTTATATCAAAAAACAGATTCTAGTTAGCTTCAAAACCTTCTCCCAGGTTTGACTGACCACAACCTTTACGCATCTGAGCTGCAGACACTAAGCACAAAACTGATCTAACTTTTAGGTCTATTTTGGCTCATCCTGATGTAAAAGACACAGTATAAAATACAGCATTACACACCCCCTGCCTGCTTACTCATCCCACACCAGAAGGGACACACTAGTAACAGAAAGATAGCAAAATATCCATAGCAAAGAAATGAATTATCAGAGAACCTTGCAAACCTTTTATTGAGGCATTTACTTAAAGGATGTATCAGAAGCAACATAAGGGAAATAACATTTCTATCCGTTACTTGCACACACACAGTATTTTGGAATAGCATTCTCCTATAGTCTAGTATTAACAGATGTATTTTTCTCTGTACTAAGTATTGTTGAATGGATTTAAATCCTTTGCATATATGTTGAATCTTTCCAAAATCTTTTTTTCATGGACCATTACACTGCAGGCAAAGTGAGACAGACTGAGTGGAGGTGACTTTGTTTCCTGCTACAGTCCTTCCACATCACCACTAGAAAAACAGTCTGTGCTCAGAAAACATTGAATGGATGCCACAGGCAAACGTGGGCAGATATACAGTAGTGAACAACTACCTAGAATGTGATAAAAGTTCTCATGGACTGCAATAGGGTTAGTAAATTCCTGTTGACAATTTAAGAGAGCTGGCACCCCCAAAAGGGAAAGCCACAGCTTTTCACTCTGCTCTCTGCTCAGCCCAAATGGGAAGTATTGTGTGCTTGCAAAATGCCTCCAAACGCTACACAGCATCTCAAAGATGCTGCATCCTCTAGCTATGTATTCTTGCTGGGCATAGTCAGGCTACAAGTAACTCCACTGCCCAGACTCTGGCTGCAACCCAGAGTCTAATGCAGATTTGTTACCAATTCAAGGCAAACATTTTACTCTGTGACAACATTTAATCTTTAACCCAAAACAACACACTGAAAAAGACTCCACTAAACTAATCACTAAGAAGTTTATATTCTACCTCCAGTCCTGTTAATAATTTACTCGGTACGTCTGGGGAGAGCTGTTTTACTGCTGTTAACTACAATT